TGTGCACTCTTGCGTGTCTCTTTGTATGTTTGTATGTGTGCACGTGTGTATGTGTGTGTGTGTGCATGTGTGTGTGCATGTGTGTATATTCCTGCATTCGTGTCTGTGTGCGTATTTGTGTGCATGTGTTTGTGTGCCAAAGCTAGTTTTGTTTCAATTCTTCTGGCGAGGGGACTTTGTATGCTAAATTTAGTGTAGTTTGGACGGCTGATTTAAACGGTGACAGTTGTGGCGAAGTAACGAGTCCCATGGTTGTGGGGCTTCTGTATCCCGTTGATGGACGATCACATGTAGTGCGGCAGAATGGTGTTGCACGGGTGGCTACTCTCTTTAGGACGACGGTGGTCCCTGCATCGCAATTGTCATCTGCTGGGCACTGTGGATGTGATTCAGGCTGCAGCTGTTTTTGCCGAGGCCGTTGCAGGATCGGGTCCCTCTCTGTCCACACTGTGTTTTTCCCGACTCCCCCCACCCTCCCCTTCCTCCCCCTACCCTGTCACCCTCCGTTAGACCTTTATGTCGATTTCATGACGAGGCTGCCGCAGTATGTTTTTTGTCGTACGTACTGCGTGCTGTACGGAGCATTGCAGGCGGTCGGATGGATCCAGCTGGAATCAGCGCGGAGGATCGAGCCCTCATTCAGCAGCTGCGCCAAGAAATCCAGGCGGAACTGTTGCTGGTACCAGCCTACGACGATCAGTACAGCCTGCTGCGCTGGCTGGTCGGATGGGATCGCAAATTAGGTTCTTTTTACTGGTCTGCTTCCATCGTCTTGTTTGTTGTTACTCAAGTTTGCTCGAGTGGCATTTTCTAAACATATTGACATTAGATTTAGCGTTATTAAGCTGATCATGCCGTTCTTGACACACTGCCTTGTCACTTCGGTCCATCTTTCACTTCCTTCATTTTTTTATACGTTTTTGTGTTGCAACAATCAGTAACCTGGGCAGGAACGCACCGGGCAGGTCCACGCGATTATGCGTTTTTGCACCGGAATTGAAGTACTCAAGTCATTAACTGCATGAATGGTTATTGCTTTATACCTATCTTTTGCGGTCATTAGCTTAAATCACCATAAGTTTTGCAAAAGTAAATGTACAATTTCCATTTAACGATCGTTCTTTAAAAGTAACCTAGCTGTTCAGTGAGAAATTTTTCCGCCAGAACTTTTAAGTGCTCTTACTTAAGAACCACGCATACCTCAGCCCGAATTTGAAATACTTAAGTTGTACTTGAACAGCGGACATTCCGTCAAAAGTCCAGCCTTCCAATTTTTCTGGTTACAGAGTTAGCAATTTTCCCCCCAACATTTCCACACGTCCATACGTGGGTGCTCCACGCGCCTGAGAAGCTGAATTTGAAATTTTTAAATTGCACGTTGCCAGGGAACACCCCCCTAAAATTTCAGCCTTGCAGCTTTTCTGGTTGCCGATTTAGTAACTTTCCCGCCAAAACTTTCATACGCCCTTACGTGAATACTACGCATGCCTGGGAGCTGAATTTGAAATATTTAGCGAACACATGCACAGGGAATATCCTTACAAAGTTTCAGCCCCTCACCTTGTCTGGTTCCCGAAATCGCTTTCCCACCAAAAAACTTGCATATTTTTTTAAAGCGTCCGTACCCGTACGCGGCACTCAGACGTCCGCGGGGATGATATTGAAATGAGAGGGTCGCGCATGGTATAGGCACATATTCCCAAAGTTTCAGCTTTCTAGCTTTTCTGGTTTTCGAGTTGAAAGTGGGTGACAAAAAGTGCAAACACACAGACACATACACAGCCTCTTCACAATATGCGTTTTTGCAATTTGCATATATGCAAAAACGTATATTGTTACGACTCGCGATATGTGGGTACATATATATATTGCCTGCGCGTGTGTTTATTTATATGCACAGAGTGCGAACACACAGATCCACACAAACAGCCTTTTCCCAATATGCGTTTTTGCAATTTGCACCGAGTAAGCTTAAGTGCTGGGTTTTTGCCAGTTTGTTCCCTGAGCAAGTATGGCCCTTAAAACGTGATACCAACTCTCACGCACGCGGACATGTAAAAGTTATGACGGGGAAATTACTAATTCAGGAACTGAAAAAGCTAGAAAGTAGAATGATTTTTTCTATCCTTGTGCGGTCCAAAGGTTTTAAACTCATCTCCTAGGAAAGCCTAGTTCTCACGTGCAAATGCGTGAAATTTTTGGCGGAAAAGTCGCTAACTTGGAAAGCTGAGATTTTAGCGGGACTGTTTCTTGCCCATTGTGCAGCCGAGAAAGTCAAAATTCAGCTTTCGTGTACATCTACGTCTTACTTACGTATATCTGAAAGTTCTGACAGGAAAAACTGACTCTAGAACTAGAAAACCAGAGAAGTGAAATTTTGTAGGACTCCTGCCTAAATGCAACCCGCAAAATCTAAATTTGGCTTTAATACACGCTTACTTCTCATCTACGTAA